TATATGACATTATCATGTGCATTTCGTGTATCATACCGGTTTTTTTTTCTAACTTCTATGTAAAGTCACACTGGGTTAACCTTTTTCTGTATCTTAATCCATATACCCCAACTGCCGTTCTTCGCAAACCATCTACATCTTGGCTCCTATATGAGCATACCTTTGCTCTAATCGGGTCCCGTCTGAGCTGCACCATTCGGGCCCCATCTCTTTTGCTCGACGCGTCCTTAGTCTCTATCCACTGCTTTTCTGATTTTATCGTGCATAGTAACATCATTCTCTGATTCGTCTCATGAGTTCCACATTTGACGCGGCAATCAGTTTAATCATTTTTGAAAACTGTTTCGTAAGCTCAAATACACTGCATCAATGTATGTTTTTTTTTTTAATAAAGCGCAGATAAGACGCTAGTTTTTATTATATGTGCATTGTGTTTTGAGGAACCAGCAGCCCAGATCAACTTCAGAGACGCTTGTGAGTCGCATGCAATGATCAAGAGCTTTTTATACCAAAAACTCTTGATTTGTCAGTCAACTATCGTTTAAGCGGTATACCTTAGCTTGTGGATATATTATATCTAGGGGCGTGTCCGTAGGGTGCCTAAGGTTATCCTACCCAACAAACAATATAGTTTTTTTGCAGCCGAGTTTTAATAGCGACCTAAAATATATTATGCCAAATCCTCTACTTAAATAATATATGATGATTGATAAAAACAGAAAAAAGTATAATCATTATATCTAAGGCCCTTCGGCCCATCCCGATACTCGCTTGGACATAACTGTGATCTTAAATGATTTTAAACGTTGTGGTTTTCGAGATCAAATAAAGAACTACCGAATTGTAATTATTTTAGGCGACTATCTACAAAAACGTTAAGGACGCAACTTCAAATAGAGCGCTGTTCGATGATCTCATAGCGCGGCATTCTTTAGACCTCAAAATGAAGGAGAAACAACCTTCCAAAAAGACGCTCTTTGACCTATTCCAGGATGCTGCTAAGAAGATGAAGAGCGACAAAAAGAGTGTCGAGGTAATTTTCCAACTCAGACAACTCTTTAGGCTAACGGGTAGAAGGAAGTACTCTAAACTTCTATAATGGATCTCCAGCTGTCTTTTTTATTGCAGATCTAAATGTCAATGCATGTAGATGGTATAATGACCTGTGGAGGTAAGGGGTCGAGCAAAAAAGGGAATTATATTATTCATTGGTCGAATTTTTCACCAAAAGATGGAGGTATATTCATCCTTATCTTCGAAAAAAAAAAAACATTGCGTATTTTCGCAAGGATTTGGTAAAAACTTGTATTTCTTAGGTATTAATCGCTGTTCTACAATGGATGATAGGGAAATGCCTCAACTGACGCCCTTCAAATATCATCCCCTACCACTTTGGATTTTACGCATTAAAATTAAGCGCACTCCGTAATTAGATTAAAAACAAGCCAAGCGTCAACCATATGTAGGTGGTACTTTAGACTACATATATATATATAGTACCGACTTGCCTAGATTAGTCTTAAAAACATTCATGTTAATAATAATTGCATAAAGCGTTCGTGTTTAACCTAGGATTCTCAAAGTCATAGGAAGAATCGTTACACGTTTTTCCACAGAAGTTAACTGCATACCTGTTAGCGATTCTATAAAACCATCTAATGGTTAGGGAGGCCTATTTTTTTAGGCCCCCCCAAAACTTTTACCATTTTTGTTATGCATTAGGTTACTCAAGGAAACAGCCCTTGACAACTGGTGGAGCAATTGTTTGGTTATATAGTTATAGAATAGAGAAATATTTTCTTTATACTAAGGGATATGTACATCACAGTCAGGCAGTAAAGCAGTCATCAAATTATCAGTTATAGAATGAATTCGTCCCTTCATTTACTACGCATAAGTGTTGCTTATTAATTTCAAACGTATTGTGCCCGGTAGTAATATAGAAAATCCGCTCCAGTTATTAGATATAGGTTCAAGGAGACATTCGGTGTGAATGACTTTCTAAAATTTGATAGAAGCTTATATACTTTTTCTTTTTAAACTTGCACTCAGTGAAAGATTTGTATATATTGATATAAACAAAAGACTTCCTAGCGTAGTATTTGAAGGCAGTGTAAAATAGAATAGTGATGAATTCGATCAATTGAGCACAGAGTCTAGGAATCGCTTACCTAAACCCAGAAATTCCTGATGACTGTAGCAGTTACCTTGGCAAGCATGTTTTCAAATGCCTAACTACTAATACGGCTGATGTGATGAACCGTATCTATATCTTAGGGTCATCGGTATACTTTAGATACTTAATATCCAACGCTATCTAAATGCTAATTATATTAAGTAGAAATATAAAATATAACAAGTTCGAGACACAGGCAGGTAAGATTTTTAATCAGCTTTCATTGAGAATAACCAAACGGTTACGGGTGCGTTGAATGAAGTTACTAGTTATTTGTTGACAGTACTTGGTTTTGCTCTGTGCGATTTACTGCAGTATATCAGCTACGTTATTGTCACGTTGACTCTTAAAGTGACCCTAACATGACTAATGTATAGGCTGTGCTCCGCTGTGATTTATTTTGTGGAGGTTGTAGATGCTGTGCTATATTTTGCCGAGATCTGGTCACAGTCCTTGCTGGCAATGATGTATCTCATAGTACTATTTTAGTAGTAATGCGTCCCGTTACACTGTATTCCACACTTACTTTGAGGTAACCTGCTGTAACTATTCAGCTTTTTTACCCCACCTATGATATCTTCCCTGATATAACCCTTTATACTTACAATTATCCTATTGTTCTAGGATTAAATTATACAAGAAAAGCTAAGGCTCGGGAGTAACATGTTAGTAATGTCGTATGACGTACTGGTGCAGTTTTGCCATTTGCTAAGTCGGTTGTTGGCTTTCCATTGCTATTTATACATCCGAAAGACATGGTAAAATCACAACGCTTTCCATTAAAATATATCTCATTAGTCCGGAGAGAAAAATTCAACACGTCCTTAGCTGAAGTGTTCGTAACGATACGGTGAAGTGTAGGAGTAGATTACGGCTAAAAAGTGGGGAACATTGGAAAACGTGTGCTAAAAGGACTTACTTACCATACATTGAAATGCTTGTTAAGAACTGTCGTCCTTTTGTTAACTGAAACAAGCAAACGCACTAGCAATTTAACAGCTTTAAAAAAGCATGCTTCTGTGTTTTATCGAATAGGTCATACCAATTGTTGATAGCAGCGGCGATGCTGATGGTCCAACCTCATCAGCTTTAATGGGCTGTTCACCGGCGCACGATGAAGCGGCAGCAGCAGCAGCAAGAGAAGTCGTCGTCTTTTCAGATCCTGAAGCGCGCGTTGCGGAATGTTCCAGCGCCGGCGCGAACGATGAATGTGGTACTTCCGGAGATAATCCAAAAACAGCCTCACCGACGCCCGCCTGTAGTTTACCACAAGCAGACGATCAAAAAGTTATAGTGACGCAAAATGAACTACCGGTAAGCGATACATTGTCCGCCAGAAAGTCAACTTCAAAACCTGTGATCAAGTACTTTTTTGAAGTAAATACAGAGAACAAGAATGTTTGTAGCAAGGAAGCTGGTAATCAGTCTGCAGCCAACACGTATTCCGAAAAATGCCCCAAGATGGATTTCAAAACAGGGTCGCAGTTACTGCAGGAACAGCGAAATCGAATAGATTCACAAATCGAAGAAATTGTCAGCAGGTAAGCTGGTTAACTTTTTAATGTGATCGTATTTAACTTCTTTTTAGCTCACTGTTTAAACGAACAAATTAAAAAAAAAAGTGGAGCCATTCCAACCAAAAAAGTACGTCGTGCACTTGATTTAGCGTCAGTTAAATCATCAAGCAGCAAACTAATTTGTCTATCTAATTTTTCTATCACAAGGTCGCTTGTTCCAAGTCTGCACTTCTTGAAATAGTGAACTCTATCTTCTAAAAGTCAATACTATATGTTATATTATCACTAATACGCAACTAATAACTATGTAAATCGAATTTCATTGCTTGTATTCAGAGCGCAGGTATCTCAATAAGTACAACTGGTCGAAACACTTTGCATCATATGAATTATACGAGCCTTTTTGTGTTTATAAAACTAATTTATTTGTTTGATGCCTTAAAGATGGTAACAGGGGCCCACGAGCGGCATGATATTTATCACAGCTTCCACTGCATCTAAAAAATATATATGTATCGTTAGCCTTATGGAAGCCTGCTTTTCTGCGGAGTCTCTGGTGGAACCCGTGCACGGCAAAACGAGTGACGACATGCAAATAAGTCCCCATCAATTTCCGCCCACCGTTTTTATAACTGATTTTGAAGGCCTCCCTTTCTAAAAGCTCAAAGCCGTGATATAGATCTTCGGAAAGTAGTGGCGAGTCGGCCGAGAGAAATGTCAGGCATCAGGTGAATATGTGCGGTACGAGTGCTCTTTCGCAGAAGGAGACTTCAACGCGATTTAATTATTCGACGTTCTCCACTGTAAGACATTTCCGAGTAAGGCGTCGACCATGCATTGCGTTTGGGGCTTCCTTGAAATCGAACAAGCTGAGTTCGATGGCGAGGGATAAGCGAGGAGGCGATTTGAGCGCCGATTCGGCCGATACTGCCCTCTTGCATATTTCGAAGATATGCGCGGAGAAGAGCAATCCCCAAATACGGAAACTGGTGTTAGTGGCCGCCGTTTTAGTTCCCGTTCTAAACTACATCACCTACACCTTCATCAAATTTACAATGAGCTCCTAAATCTGTGACTCCTATTTGGAGCCGGGTAAAACTTAGTGCCTTAGGAACTTGTTAGATTTTCGTATCGTTAAGTCGTATACAACTAGCTGCATACAAGATGACTTCGACTGATGTCCTCGGCCCTCCGATTCGATCAAAAAAAGTCCTTCTACAGGATGGAAAATAACGGTAGGCTCAAGTTGTCCTCGCGAGCTTGGCCAGTTGTCTCTGTAGGGAACGAGAGTTGGGTTACTTTGTCGTCATTAGTTAGTTTGTTCTCGTGTAAAATCGATGCAGGAAGGTTAAACACATTCATAGGAACACCTACCTCGGCCTGGAAGACTACCTTGAAGTTGACGATCACCGCATACCAGCGGGCAATGTTCCACTGACGTAGGCCATTCTGTCAAAGGAGCTATTCAGTCTTTTATTTAGCATGCCAAAGAGAAGATCAACTTATAAAAAACGGTTTTTTTCGCATTTCCCCCCATGATTACGGTGCGATTGGGTCACGCTTTCCGAGCAGGGGAACATCTGTCCACCGGGTGGGGAGTGTACCAGTCTCGTCATGTAGGCTTCAAAAACCGTACGTTAATATTACGTTTTATACGTTACGGAAATATTACGTTTTATTGAAATTCTTTCATCCCATGTTGCGTATGATACCGTATCTGTTGACGCAAACATCTCCGAGAAATGATTATAAGTACTGAGGAGCTAATCGGGTGAGCCTGGTTGAACAGCCGTGGTGCACTAGCCACTAGTATGGTTAACGTTTTGTGTCAGCAGCCAAATAGGTCTTCAGTCGTTTGTCCCCTTTATGATGCACACGTTTCTCGATAAATCGATTCTGGAGGCTAAAGGGTTATACGCCTGAGTTCTCAAAACTACGCTGCGAAGATGCTTGAACAGTTAGGTATTCTCTTACATTTTATCAAACTCTGAACGACAAAGAAGCAAATTAATCACTTGATTTTTCTATGACAGTTGCGCCTGTTCTAAAGCTGCATTTTTAAAGGCCAATTAATAATAATTAGATTATTTTTTATCAAACCCTCACTTTAAGTTATCTCATTATCTTGGGGGTTATATGGGCATTGCACTTCAAGCATGTATTAAACAAGATGTCGATGCAGTTTTAAACAGAAATTTTGACGACTTCATTGGCACAATGTACCGTTCGACATAGGAACTACATTGTGCACACATTAATCATATATCTGAATAAACAACAGATAATTATTTATACCAGAATCATACACAATCGCGATAGTTATCCAGATTTCAGTCCAATCAAGTTAGCCTTGGAAAACGGTACGCGTATTTTCACTGACCTGTCTAAGTCAGCAGTAGACGATCAAAAAGCATTGGCTTTTTTAGTCATAATTACAGCCCTTTCTAAGACGAAAGACATTTTCCTTTTAGCTCTATTGAGTGACTGGTTGCTTTGCACGAAATCATTGATGGCCCAACTTTAATCACCCATCTTCGGTCCATATAGGTGGGACTAAACGCCATAAATATTTTCAATTTAGATTTTATTGAAAACAGATCAATTAAGTCACCCCATTTCAGCCAAATAATAGAAAAGTGTGATACATATACTGGTAGATCCAGTGATACCGACTATTTTCATCGATAGCCTTTAGTAAATTTTAGCCCACATAGTGTCATCTTCCCTTATAGGTGATGCTTAAATAAGACACCATATATTTGTGCTTGTTACGCTGCATTTCTTAGTTTGTTTAAAAAAAACATGCGATGATCGTATTGTCTTAACGCACCATGAAGGCTAAACAATATCACTGGATAATATATTAGATTCCAGAGAAGGTCATTATTATATGCTTAATCAATTACAGATAGTTCCGGGTAATACCAAAAAAATAAAACGACCTCGACGATTACGTTACCGTGTAACCATATGCCCGCATATAGTTAATTATGTGCCATTATTTCGTGACTGAATGTGAACATCAGTAACAATGCGCTGGTGTACCAAATATACTGAAAGCACCCGCGTCTCATTGTAGCCAACAGAAATAAAAGAAACTTATAGACAATACAGGAAAAGGATGCAGTTCTTAGAAATGAATTGACGTTGCATGAAATGAAGTTGCGGAAAGCGGGCATTAACCTTAGGATTTGAAACGAGTAAAAAACTAGTTTTAAGAATTTAATCTCTTTTTTTCGAATATGCAAAAAATGCACGTAAAAAATCATCCTAGTACTTTTGAGTACCTAGTAGTTTGATGAAGAGTCAGGAGACTAATTAGAATAGTTTAGAGAGTAACTTGGATAATTCAGAGACCGACTAGGAGAGTCTGGAGACTGACTAGTACTCATACAATGATCCATATTCTTGTATTTCAACCGAGGATACTTACTCGAGAACTTGACGTAATTGATGGACTTAGTTTTGACCTGATCACAGTCTCAGGATTAGCCTCCACAATGGGTCGCTAAAAAATGCACTACGTAGTTCCATGGGTAGCGTAAAAGTGAATTATAAAATAAATTAACTTGAATACACAAATACTAGTATTTATATAGAAAAGCAACGATCCCTTCTAGATCCGATACTTCACTACCCTCAATCTTTAGATCAGAATAATCAAACAAGCTGGGCCTACTATTGATAACTTTGCATAGTGAAGTTTCTTTCCTCAGTCAAGTTCGTTCTTACTAAATTTAGACTAACATATCATGCATCTCTAATATTTGATACATTAACAGCTCAAAAGTCAATGGCAAGTACTATTCCACGCAAATGTTCTATTGCAGTGTTACTATCTGGCATATGCAAAAGTGGTCGATCTTCTCTAGAGCATCCTTCGGCTCATATTGAAAGGGTGAATGTCAGTATCTATAGAGAGGGAAAAAATTCACTTCAAGATAAGCTGAAACTTATAATTTAGGTTGTTCAGAAAGTACTAGTATTCGTGGTTGTCTGACATTCTGCATTTGACGACCTAATGGACATAAAAGAGACAGTTCGTGACTCAATTAATCACCAACTAAACGCAAATGGTCTAAGGATGTAGGGGCTCATTAGCACTGGAAAATACTAACGAGCACCGCAAAATGCAATGAATTTTGCCTAGAAAAAGTTATTTAAGAGACATATTCGTTCAGAAAAGCATCGTATATATTTTCTCAACAACTGGCTTAGCGTCTTCAGAAATTTTGTCGCTAGACCAACAGCTGATTTTAACGGTATATAACCTACGTTATTTAAGCAGCCATGTTTCTTCATTTCATGCATTATTAGTTTAAATATTAGCCTTCAATAAAACTTTGTACAATATATTCAGTAGATCGTGTGCAATGTAAACTTCTCAAAAGTAAGTACTCGGCGCGGGCTTGAACGTGGTTAGGCACATCCAACTTCGTTTCGAGCAAAACTACGGAACTGTAGAATTATTTTAATATTCTATATCTCTATAGCAAATATGAAGAGAAAAATTGATGCATTCTGTAGATACGATTACCTTGTTCGTAAGCACATTTTCTTTAAATTATGATAACTTAAAGATCCTTAAACTTCAACTTGTCCATCATACCAGTTCTGTAATAATAGTAGTAATTGTAAGTTATTGAATAATTGAAATCGAAGCAGATTCTGTAACGCAGTATCCAACTTTGTTTGGTAATTAATGGTAACTTGCGCAGCTTACCTTAATAGCCCCAGTAGTACATTTTTACCACTAGCAAACTGTAAAAAAACACACCCGGTTGTTTATTGGTAATTTGGCTTTGTGTGGGCTGTGATCCTTGTAAATAGATTGTACAGTTGATAGAAGTCAAGCCTGAGATAAAAACAAATGACCTCGAGGATGCTTGCGTATTGTCTAGGATAATTCGAAGTTCTTTTGTTCCACGTTGCGGGCTAGGAACAGATAGCTTTTAACGCTGGCTGTTAGTCATAAGGTGTTCATTTACGTCGTTCCGGTAACGTCCGCCACTTATTACTGCGGCTTCTATGAAGTCTTAACTCAGATATCCTCAGTCATATTGTGTCAAAAACATACTTACGAAAACGTGTCTTAAAGGAAACGTCCATAAACTTGTTTTATTGTTCCAGATACGAAAACGAAAGAACATAGAAATGTTTCTTAGAAGAATGGAAAGGATATATACTATACTCGCATAATTGCATATATCGACTAGAGCGAATACAACATTACTGAATACGGAGCCATTACTGAACAAAATATTATCGACATATGTGGCTACATGCTAACTAGGCTTTGGCTTCTAGCGATTTCGAAGCGTGAAGCTTGTTGGGGTCTGTATAAAAAAAACAATTTTTTCAGCTTCAACTCAAGGAGATTGGTCTAAATTAGAGTAAAAAGCATAGGCATGCATGAACAAAACGTGGCAGGGATTTATTGGCACTTCAAATGATTACAAAAAAACGATGTTATTAAGTTCATTTTGAAGAAAACGAATGATATAAATATATGCACTGTATTGCAGACCAAAACGACTTGCCAGCTGTGAGGAGTCTTCGTCAGCTAAGCGTCGATCAGTCGACTCCGAACGCACGAAGAAAGATCGATGTAAGGCTATTTCCTTTGTTAATGATCTACTCTACCCTGAATTCAAGCGCGGGGCGATCTCCAAAGAAGACTTCAAAATAATTTGTAAAGAAGTAAGCGTAATAGCCTTTTTAACTATTTTAATTGAAAAAGTAGCACTTATGCAGAAACAGGAAAGAACTGGTAATGTAAATAAGTCTAGATCCTTTCTTTGATGCACAGCTTTAGTTAATCAAACTGTACCCAGCTCATTATTTAGGCATGTAGGTTCTTGAATGCTTGTATATGTTAGTCATAAACAAATATCGAACGTTTTCCAGGTGTCCGATCATGCTGTCGATAGCGGAATACTTGATAAAACAACTATTAAGAAAGAGATTGATAAGAAGCTTAAGAAACTGAAGTATCTTTGATAAGCGAAGTTGTGAAAACCCAATTCAATTACCGAAAATGCCTTCCTTTACATAAAATATCACGCATGATGTAATCAAGTCCAGATAATTCCACAAGTAAAAGTTGCGACAATGTAAAACCGCAGCAGCTTATCATCGGTCGATTATGTGTAAAATAAACTGATATAAAAAAATAAATTTTTATTTGACCTGTGAATGGCACTGTGCTATTAGACCTACAGCAGCTTAAGGTCCTAAGGTCCAATACTTCCCCTAGATGTCAAAGACTAGCTAATGGGCTTAGTATTTAAAATGCAATTCTCGCATCTCTCGGCGCCCAACTTGGCACAGCTATCGGTATCATGTCACAATTTAAATTACTCATTGCCTATACCCTAAGTTATTTATATTTATAACACCGCTAATCAACACAAATAAAGAACAACACCATCAGATTGTCTTATTACTTTTACGTATTTCACTACTGTTTTCAACTTTGTCATATCGGAGCTGTGGTCGGTCAGTTTTGACAATAAAAGAGTTGATATAGTATATCAGCATCATTTCTTTTCGAAAAAGAGCATAGGCCTCCGATGAGGTCAACCCCGTGTATGATGAGTTCCTAGCCATTATCAAAGGCAAAATTTAAAAGTGGCATCCTGTTTAGTAATTTCCTCATCAAGTTGTAACTCTTAGAGAATTCAACCAGCGATGTTTATTGCAGCTTCATTAGAAGCCATTTTAAAAACCTTCCCAATTCTGCTTCAACCTACGCCGGTTAGTCCTGTTTATCACTGCTTCCGTCTATAATGGTGCAGCATAAAAAGCAATAGTGTATAACCGGAGATAGTATCCCTTTAGGCCTCGTTCATGGGCCGTGTAATCCTCGCATGAGTTCGGACTTCTGAATTGCGCATTTTACATGAACGGCTTCAGAGATCGAACTGTCGATCTTAACACCGAGTTAATTCAGTCTATGGGAGGGAATTGTATGTTCGTCGACAGTTACTTTGATATTGCTACATTTACTTTGCCCACGGAGCATAATCGATTCGGTTTTCCCAGGGACTTCTAATCTGGCACCGTGCTCTTTGATCCAGTTGCGAACAATTTCATAGGTATCTTCTATTTTACCTTGACTATCAGCGCTACGTTTGGCCAAGAAAGTTGCTGTCAGGTCGTTTGTAAAGGGATTGGCCGAGACATCTCTAATAGAGTCTTGCTGCGATAGATCATCATATATAATGCTTTAAGGGTAACCGTTCCTATAGTGCTCCCGTGTCCTTTTGACATTACGAATTCATTATTGAGACAGATATACCGCTCAACTGGATCTTTTTCTTGTAGTCTGTTAAGATAATTAGAGAGATCATCCAGGACATTGTAGTGGTGATATTACGGACGGCGAAGGCCACTATGCGCGTAGTCCTTTTTTCTGTCTTGCTTTTTTCTTTTCTGTATTGGCTTTCCCAGATACCCCTCTTACTGCCTCTACCGTAACAGACCCTTTAAGAAAATCTAACTAGCTGCTAGACATAATTTTCTTGGTCTTGTTTTCGGCTAGAAATTTATTCGCAATCATTTTCTCAGCTACTTTATCTGTGCAGTTCAGTAAGCAGATCGGTCCAAAAGCCAAGGAGCTAAATTTATCCTTCCTTTGTTTAGGAAATATTAATTTCATACTTTTTCTCGGGGCAAAGTGGCTTTTTGTATTCCAGATGTACAAAGGTACCGGTGTTACATCCTATCGATTTTTGTGTTACTTTAAGTGGCCATTCGCGGAATACCGATGATTTTTTGTTCGTCAGCACTGATTTCTATAAGTAAAGCATGTTAGATTTTACTAAAACTTGCTCTAATTAATCGTCTCTGTAAAAGTCCGCTTCAGTTCTGTGTCTTAAGTCGAAGGGAGGCGAAAGGAAAGAATATTTAAGTCTTCTGGTAAGTCTACGTGCTTTCGTAAATGTTTTGTATCTCTCTTCGTTTAAGTCATTTTATTCAATCAATACTATTTAACTGTTTTAACTAGGTCTCCACAGGATTTAGTCAGCTACCTGTATTTGCCTACTGATATTAGGATGGTTTACCTTGGAACTAACATCGTTCTATGCTGACGGGCAGCCATTTCATGTAATACTCAACGGCGATACTAGACATAACACTCTGAACATAGGACCTTGGTCAGTTCATCAAGAAAAGTCTAGTTGTCCTTTTTTAGTAAATTTCAGTATTCTCTGTTGCTGCATATATTTTACGAAAGGATCTAGGAAAGATTGTGTGCCTTCTAATAGCGAGGACAAAGGAAGTGAAAATTCAATATGATAAATTTGTAATACTGCTCCGAATTGTCCAGACACGATTTTGTTTATAGACAGCCGTAATGTCAGTGATTTCACATAGAAAGGCATGTGTTTGTTATTCGATTCCCTCCCGAAGGAGTATTTTCTATGGTGCAATATTTTCTAAACTACTTATTTACAGTCGCAAATAACAGACACCGCTACGAATTACTCGATTTTGATACGATACTAACGGTGGCCGGGTTCTAGAGACGAGCTTCGAACTGTGGCATAACGACTATGAAAGCTCTACTCCTCTCACTTTTGGTTGAGGCAGAAGTATCAGTTGTTTATAATTGTAAAATAAGGCAATTTTATTATATTTTTTATATATTCTTTATATATTTTTTATGTTGTCACTTATTAATAATGAATGCAATAGTTGATCGGACAGTACTTGCTAGTGATTTACTATGCAACAGTGGTTAATTATACTTATTTTTCCATTTCATTCAGAATAATCAATCCTATATGAGGCCTGCCGGTGACTAATAAGGGCTCCGGGTCACGGGACTGTTTCTACTTAAATAATTAGTTTAGGCACACTATATGATCCAATACCTTCAAGTAGGAATTGCCGTCCAAGCTAAGCACTCAGTCCTTATGAAGCAGCAGATCCACGTAGTTTCCAGCATTTTCACCAATCTCCTACGAGCGCCGCAAGTAGCCACCCAATCTTGTGCAGTTTTACCTTTAAGTAAGAAGTAAATTTATACTCCCAACTGACTGAGTGAGCACTGATGTCCCCACAGTCGATAACAGTCGATAACGATTCAAATAGAGCGTTTGCTGAAAACTGGGGGGCCTGTAGGTAGTAAATTTTCGAGTTCCGCCTAAGCGAAATCTTCCACCGCCCAACTGTTAGAGAGAAGGGTATTCAGATGATGAATGATGGCCGTATCGTCGATCGCTTCAAATCTCTGATTCGGTTCGGCTCTGACGTTAAAACTTACGTTATTGACACTGGTGAATTGCTCCCATAGGTCATGGCAGCTTACACAAGCTGCATTGCAGAATTCATTCTGTGATCAATCCTACTGTTTGTTAATAGTTCTCCAGGTTAGTCACGCACTTAATGCACCTAAAACTATTTGCTTGATGATCTGGTTTATTGCAAGAATATAACCTATGTTCCTTGTTTTGCATACTGTCAAGTAGCCCATAGTGGCACATCTAAAGCGGAAGACCTGATTTACCGAGATTGCGAGAAATACACGTTCAGTATTCAGACTTAGCACAGTTAGGGCATAGACGCGGTAACCGAAACTTTAAGGCCACACAAATGAATTGCGAATCTCACGGGCTTTAACCTTGTCGCGTTCGGTCCTCGTAATTACAGCCGTTCGAGTTCCATTCTAGATTTTTGTATTTACTTTTTCTCATGTTTAAAGATTGTGTTATTGAAGCCACGATAGGTCACTCACCGAAATACTTTAGTGCTAACCTTTATTTATGCGATAGTTCTCTCACTGATTCGTGTGGCTTACGAAAAAATGTATTTTTAGGCTGTCTGTCCCTCTTCCAAAAGTGAATGGATCTTTTAATAATTAAAAAGTTTTATTTTTTTTTTTAATTGTTTTAAATTTCGTCCCCTCACTTCGCGCTATGAGGAGCAGGCCTTTGGTTTCGATAGCAGCTTCACGTAGATTTCAAGCCGTTTCTCTATCTTATATATAGGTTGTTTGGTCCGCGCTATTATTGCGTCTACTAATATTAACTTCTATATTCATTTCACATAGGCATTTATTAATCATCAGTTGGAAAGCTTTATTTATTTTCACTTTGCAACGCAGGTTATCGAGATTTTATTCGAGTTACAAAATTTTATCTTCGACTCTAAAGATGGCTATGTTCGCTCTCTTTAAAGTAGCAAGAGGAAATAGCCTTCTGGATACTGATTTTTCGTCTCACACTGAGATCAGGAAGCTGCCCAATAAGTGTGGCCGTACGAAGGATGCTCGATGGGCTGGTAATGCTACTCAAAAGTGGTTCGCTACCTTCAAGCATGGCATTTTCGATTTAAGAAACGTCACTTGCGATAAAGTTCGAACACACGCATACACGAAGTTCATCGAGTTTGACGATGACTGTCTTGAGCCACCTTTGAAAGATCATAACTGTTAAACAAGTTCTAGCGTAGCACCTAGAGAGGAACGTTGCTTCTGCAAGCTTTTGATATCGGCGAAACATCCGTATCGCCAGTTAATTTCTTTACAAGTGCCTCAGGGTAGAGATCTTGTGAATCTAATAGAATAATGACGACGAGTAGACCTTTCCGATAATGCATAACACTCAATCATTAGCAGACGAAAAATTTGAACAGCAAAGCAATAGTCAAAAATCGTTATATTTTGCGAAAAGCCTACTATATGTGAAGCGAGACCTAAGGCATTCGAAGTTTGTATGTCTCACGACTTTCACGTACCCTTATTTAGACCAGCTTAGATCGAATTTCTAAGAAGAACTCCTAAAGAGCAGGTTTCTTTTGCGATCAACCGAGACATGAGACACGAAACAGCATAGCGAAGTAATCGCTACTACCAATTCAACACAAGTTTCACTTACTCAGCAAATGACAGAATCGATTTTTTTGTGTCCATCTTGCATCCTTCTAAAGTACCGATGGATTTTTCTCTAGTGCTTTTCAATATTCCCTATCTTTCAGAAAAATCAGCTCCACTGCGCTCCATCAAATTATCACTTGTTACAACAGCAAATATGTCACGGCCTACGACTGACCAGGCAGTTATGGAGACTCGTACCTTAAGATATTCTGGTCCGCAGAGTCTTTTTGGACGATGAAGGCCATGCGTTTCAATTTCTGGGCGGACGTGGAGTCTGCTATAGGCCGTCTCGCCCAGTAATACGGTAAGTAGAAGAAAAGCAGCAAGCCCCTAGGGCTGATCTCATGGGCTCGGATTAGAAAGAGAAACATCTCAGAACAGAATTTGATTACCCGATATAATAGTGAGAAAGTTTCCTGAGGAGGAACGAATTGATTACAATTAGACACGGCGAAGCAAAGAAAACGTCCGATGACCAGTGCTCTGAGCTAAACAGAAAGCATGAGAAGCTCAGTAAAACAATGCATTTGCATACGAGCTAAGCAAACTAAGGGCAGAAATACAAATTGAAGCAGCACATCCGAATATACTATGCTATAATATACTAT